ATACAAACGGAATTTTTCATACAGCATTTCTCAGGAAATATTTTTGATATATTACAGGAACTTGGTACGGAGATATATAAAATCATTATCCACTCATGGATGAGGGCTGAATATAATTTTAAAAGGGTTGCCACCTGTTTGAAAAGTCAAATTTAAATTGGTTGTGCGCAACCTATCTGAAGAATTAAAATGTGGTTGTCTAACGAAATATTGTTAAAAAACCTTTGGTTTGAAAGTTTTGAATAATATTTAAGTCTTTCACAAGGGTTGCCACATTTTTAAAAACCAAATTCAAATATTTTAATTTAAATATTACATTATAAGGCGCGCAATGGTTCTGGTGGTTGATTTATCGGTGGTGACTTGAAATTTACCACTGTACAACTCAACCCTGGTGTCTCAGAATGAGCTTTAACGCATAATAATACTGGCAAATCACTTCCATTGGGCCAGTCGTAACACATAAGAGTTCTCAATGGCGCAACAGGTCGATTTAATTTGACATTCACGGCACCTTTTCTAACTTGGCGTTTATTCGTAATGACTCCAGCGCTATCTGGCAGCGCGTTTTGGCAATAGTATTGCCTTTACCGTTACCAATAAATATTTTGAAGTGGATAATAAATAAAATGTTTAGTAATAAATTTTGAAACTACACTCTCCAGAGAGCCACTCAAAATTACAACTTCGTTAAAATCGGTCCAAGCATTTAGAAGGATTTCACTCACCAACACACAGACACAAGAATTATATATAAACTTTTTTGCGGCGCCATGACCCCTTTTCAAATAGCCCATTTTTCTCCATGAGTATAAGATTGATTTCATATATTGCCGTACCAAGTTCCAGTATTCTACCATGAACACTTCCAGAGATATGCAGTATGAAAAAATCGGTTTGTATGGTAAGTGCAACGCCCCTTCATATATCAAATTTTTTTTTAGCCTATAACCATCCTTGGGACGTCTGAAGCAGGTATCCGAAATTTCAAAAAAAAAATCGGTTCGGCCGTTCTCGAGCTTTGCGAACACATAAAAAACGGCTTTCAAAACATATATTGTTGTAGAAGATTGGTATGAATCTAAATGGCTTTGAATGTTAATCACAATATGAGCGTCAGACGAAAGAGGTCTAAAAAGGTTAAAAATTTAAATTCAAACTATTCAATAATTTAAATGAATTATTAAACTATGGGTATCAATTAAAATGGTCTTGAAAGGGCTTAATTTCAAAACTGCATGTAAGAGGTTTTCATCTGTTTAAAATCTCAAATTGAGTTCAGGGGATAAGTTAATTGAAAAAGTATGACAAGTGAGAAGTTTAGGAACGTTTTAATTTGAAAATATTTTGAAGATGGTTAAACAAATTTTAAACCTCCGGTTTTTTAATTGAGTTTTCTTGAAATAAATTTTACTCAATGTATCACGTAGAAATTTCATACACTCAGCGAAGCGGGTGACGGCGATCGAGTTTGTTTATAAAAGTATAGTATATACTTAAAAAAAATCAATAAAAATCCAACTTTAAATCTTTGTGTAAAACCAAAAAAAACAACAAACTTTCGAAAAAATTTCGAGCTTTTAAGAGCAAGTTTAGGATGAATACAATTCCGTTAATTTTTGGCATTTTTTTTTTGTTGACGGTGTTGCCTGGTTTTCTCCTTGTAAAAAAACAAACTAGCTGGCCTTATTTGTAATATCTATGTAACTTAACTTGAATTCGACTTTTTTAGAAATTAATTCAATTAACTTATTAAATTATTTGAACTTTTTTAAACAGGTGACAACCCTCTTCAGCCATGCTGTGACACATACATATTTCAATTACCTAATTCTATTAATTTAAATTGGATTTAATTTAATAGACAGGTGGAATAGGGGGGTTTCCATGTAGTTTACAAATGGAGCCTTTCTAAAACGATTTCGATTGAGACTCATATTGTAGTAATTCATTTACCTTATTTGAATCAGGTGGGAATCCTCTTTCGATATTTGATTTATCCTATCCATTTAATATAATTAAATTTTTTAACAGGTGGCAACTCTCTTTATACCTAGCCACCTTTTCCTCACCGAGACGAACACGTAGGCATCCGCTTTCTACAATCGGACCACTAAAATGTAAAACAGCTCAACCTTCAGCCTTCAACCTCTAAAGGGAAGTTTTACAAAAGAAAGTTTTTTCAACCTGAAATCTTAATAAAATTAGAATAAAAGAAATATATTGTATTACTGTAAAAAGGCCCATGTGTCATATTTTCCAAACTCGATTTGATACTGAAATTTAAATCACAGCTTTGAAATTGTCCTTAAAATTAGGCTAGTATCATGTAGCATCACCCAATCATCAGAAATGGCGTTGTGCGGTGTGAAAGATATGAGTATACTCGTAAAGTATTGGTCATATTTTACAAATTCCAACATTCACTATCGGTAATTTTGATCGCCAAAAATCTCCAAAATAATATCACGTGCACTTAATAACATGCAACAATTACTTACAAGCCCCTCATACTGCTAGATTTGGCTAATAACACATTGCATCTGTTACTTTTCCATGTTGTATATTTCTCTGCTTTCTTAAGAGAATCTGTTCTCTCTTATCGGTGCGATTGTCAGTACTGCAGCCAGATCCCATCGTTAGCTATCGCTAATTTTGATTACCAAAAATCTCCAAAAGAATTTCAGGCGCGCATAACATCACGCAATGTTCACTTACTTGCCCATCATACTGCCAGATTTAGGACCAGTTTTTCGGTGTCAGTTTACACTTAGTTTAAGTAAACTGAGTTTAAATTGAACAGCTGGCTGACATTTGATTGGCTGATCGTAGTTTAAACCAGCCAAGATCGGGCGTTTAAACTGAGTTTAAACCACGACCGTGCACTGAAAAACTGGCCCTTGGCAGATTAGCCATCGCAGCTGTTACTTTTCCCTGTAGTATACTTTTAGGCCCCACTGCTTTTCACTTAGAGAATTTTGGCGACGGAAATTTAACGTAGCGACTGTCAGAATTCCACTGCTGATCACAAGCCGCCAAGTGGTTGGCCAAACTAAGTAAATTATCACTTTTGTGCTCTTTATTTAAACTAAATATTATCTATTGGGTTTGAAAAATATGTCTTCCATATGTTTTACTAATCAGGCTAAAATGATTTTGGATTTACGATAGATATATGTAGATATAACTTTTTATTACAAATGTTCAAATATATTTATATCATTGTGGTCTAATTTTTAATTTCAAACCAATAACCTTTATTAGACCAACTAAAAACTGCTTGCATATATGCAATGAAAAAGTTGAAAAAACGTCCTTTGTAAAAACACAAACCGTGGAGGTTTCCATACACTTAACTTTATATAAGCCAACTTTTGTTTTTGTTTTTTTTTATATTCTCAGCGCATGCTAGTCAAAGCATACAAATTACATTTTCATGCAGAGAAAATGAATTGAGTAAAGTCACTTGAATAGCAATTTCGCAAATACGGCGGGGAAGAAGCAGAAAAGAACCTAAGTATACAACAAAATGAGCTTGTTTTGTCTATTTT